TACCATTGTAGATGGAATATGTAACAAAACTTTGCAGGAACGCTCAGCAATGGCCCAGACTGGATGCCTTCCAGGTATGGCATACTGCTTTAGTCATGAAGCTCTTCCTGGCGTTCAGCCAGAACCTCGATTGCTATAACCTGAGCCCATCTTCCTGTACTCTGGGATGGTCGAGAAGAGATTCTGTCCTTCCTCTTTCTGACAGCCTTTCCAGTATTTGTAGCGCGCTATTTCATCTCATCTCCCCTCAGCCGTCTTTTCTCCAGGCTGAACGTGCCCTGTTCTTTCCATCTCTCTCGGCTTTGTTTCCAGTCCACAGATCATCCTTGCCACCCTCCTCTGAATGCTTTCCAGCTTGTCTGCATCTTTCTTAAACTGTGGTACCAGAACTGGACATAGTATTCTAGGTGAGGCCGCACCAGTGCTGCACAAAGAGGAACTCGTACTTCACGTAATTTGAAAGTGATGCTTCTCTTAATGCAGCCTAAAAGAGTGTTTCCCCTTTTTGCAGCCACACACAAGAGGGAAGACCTGGAGTGGCTCCAACCCCCCTCTAACGTTCCTTTGCGGGCTCCCCTGCACCACCCCTGAAAACAGCTCAGTGCAGTTTGCACATGCTCAGTGGCCATGCGACGCAACTGGCTGTTGAGAAGGAGAACAGGGCAAGGGCGCAGAATGGGTGGGACAGAAGGATGAAGAAAGTGAGCAATATAAACAGATTAGAAGTACTTTGATTCTTCAGTACCAAACCTACTGTGAGATGCCAAGGTATGGTAGACAGATTTCTGATTTTTCTCTAAGCTATTTTTTTACCATAGGAAGAGTTCCAGAGGATTTAATTTCCCTCCTAGGAAGCTCTAAACCCTTCATCATTTTTGGTTCTGCACCCAGTTCTTCTGTTATTTTTCTGGCTGGCTGGGGCATGCTGAGAGCGAAAATCCTTTTTTTCTGTCTAAACTTGCATCAGTTTTGCCTTTTTTCTCAGTCTAACCCTGTCTAGAATTGTACCTTAACTTATGTATTTAAAAGATTTATATATTGATCTACATCAGTGCTTCCAGGGTGGCTCACAAAAGCAAAGAGGACACTTTCAAAATGACTTTAAAAGGCAGCAAAGGGAAACATGTTAGCATAAAACCTTAAAAGCACCGGGAATATAAATATGCATGTCTAGCAGAGTTGTAACACATTTTGGGTACCTGAAGAGATGCCATGTAGAAGGGGGCAAAGATTTGCATGGTCTTGCCCAAGAGGGCATTAATTAATTAATCAATCAGGCATTAATCCTAATAGGGGCAAGTGATAAGAAGAAAGATTTGGGGTGAACCCCAGGAGAGACCTCAGAGGAACAGTGTGACAATGAAGCCCGTTACCTGGAGTAATGCATGAGCTCTCCTTCACTCCGTGCTTTTTGGGTGCTAGTTCTGGACTTCACGTTTGCAACATTTACAAATCTTTCTGTGTAAAGAAATGCCAGAGCAGCGACATAGGGGGTGCATCAAACAGGAGTCAGCTTTGACGGCCAGCTTTGCCTGAGGATGGTTCTCTATTCAAATAGCTGCCAAGGACAGCCCTGTTCACATCACTGTCCAGTTCAAATCTGGCTTAAAGAGAAAGCTCTGTCAGAACTGCTGAAGTGCCTCGAAGTTCACCAGCACCAGGACAGAGTGGGTCTAGATGGGGAGCCACACTTCTCTTGTAAGGATCATACTAATTTCGAAACTGGCACCTGTACCATTCCGTATAAAGAGGACAGCACACACATGCAAATTAGCTGCAAATCTGTGTTGTCGTCTCTTTTGTGTGATGCCTAATTGACTGCCACACCTCCCAGTCAATGTTTTTATGGAAAAAAACAGTTGGCACCAAGGAAACTTCCCAAGGAAAGGACTTCCCTAAATAGGGTGTTACAGGGAACAGAGGAGAACAGTGGGAATCACTGTGAGATAAAAATCCATTAAAAATCAATTTAAGCTCTAATGACCTTCTTGCTAAAGGGGGGGGGTGCCTGTAGGGAGATAGCCAGCCACCCCGCTCTTCGTGTTAGAGGCCCTGACACCCAGAAGCAATCGGCAAACCATTTGGATCCATAGCAGCGTGACAGCTAACCAGAGACGCGGCAGGCCCAGTCACACCCTGCAAGATGAACCGGGCAGGTTTGCGCAGCAAGCGATTCTCCTTCCGAGTCTCTGGCCTCTTGGTGGCTTTCCACATTCAGCGCAGCGTCTTTGCCTGGGCCCAGCCGAGAACAATGATCCAATCCAAGGCATGCAAACTTCGCCCGACATCCCTGCAAATTCCATGCTTGTAGCTATGGAGACCACTTGTGAATCTCCCAGAAAAAGTTGCTCCCAGAGAGGACCCGGAGCTGCTTCGCATTTGCATGTGCTCATGCAGAGGTTGAGATGCTGGTGGAGAACCAATTATCGTTTCAAGGGAAGTAGGATGTCATTTGCCTTGGCGTGGAAGATTGACCAGGAAACTTGCGTGTTCCGCTTCTTCGGTCTGTTCTCCAGGGCCAGCTGCTCCTTTGGGTGGTGGTTGACCTTTGAACAGGACTTGGCCTGGGCAGCCACTCAAACAGAGGACGCCTTCAAAACAGAGGACACTTGCCTGGTGGCCCTTTGAAGAGAGCATTGTCCTCTGTGAAGGAGAACGCATGGTCACCCTAGCTCAACATCAGCAATTTTATAAATGTCATCTTTGTCGTTCGGCTTTGTCCATTTCGGCACTGGGCCATTTCTGGCCATTTGTCACTTCTGCAGAGAGGATGAGTTGGGAGAAGAGGTTGCGGGGGGGGGGGGGGACCAGATTTTGCTAAATTGCAAAGCCAACAAATAGAAGAAAGCATTTATCTCCAGTCTCCCAAAGAGTCCCCGTTCTCCCCTGTATTTTTTAAAGAAATTGTTGCTTCCGTTCCACCCCTGCACTTATTGCAATCCTCCAAATGGAGAAACTCATTAGAAGTGCTGGAAGTATCAGCTAATTATGGAACGCATCCATTTTTCCACTGGGCCGGCTTTAAGAGATAAGACAGCCCTCTGCTATAAAGTCTGGGGAGGGGAATATTGTATACACACGGAGAGATAAAGGTTGATGTGTTTTGAAATGGGTTTTTGCTTTGTTCCTCTATTTTCCCCTGGGTGTATTAACCTCGGGGACACCGTCAAAAAGCACAGTCAACAAGAGCACCTGCTGAGGTCAAGACTCGTCATTAGTTTTTCGGTCAGTGCAGAATAAACCCCTTTTTTTCCACGGCTCGCTCGCTCTCTCTCCATGGCTGGGCTCCGTCTGCCTCCGTCTTTTCCTCTCTGCCGAAGTCACACTTTTCCTGCCTGAGTTGCTCCTCCATAGCTATTCCATCTCCAGCTGTGGGGGCGTTAAAGAAAAAAGATGAGATCAAGTTGAGGGGAAAAAATTGTCTGATTTTCCTGGCCCTTTGTTCCCAAGCACCTCTGGCACTCTGCTTTTGTGGAGGCAGCCAGGCTCGCAGTCCTTGGTGGGCCTTTAATTTTTTATTTTTCGCTGTCGGTGCACTCTCAGGCTTTTAGGGTAGGTTGAAAAGGGTACGGAAGTTGTTGCTTGGGTGCGTGGATAATAGATGCGTGTGGAAATATGCAGGAGGAAGGTGGCCAAGGAAAGCCGTGGCGGCTTGATGCAACCTCCGCTCGAGCCGGTGTACCGCTGAGTGCTGGATGAAGAAGGGTGTGCGGGCGCGCCTCGTCCCACCGGGGCCCCAGGCCAATATATCCTGGAGGCCCCAGGTTGGGAAAAACGGTATAGACGGCCATGCCCACGCTCAGCTTCCAGTCTGTCTGCTCTCTATGTTTTTATGGAGCATATGTATCTTAGTTCTTCCAGCGCTGAGCAGGCCCAGCTCTGCTAAGCTCCAGCGAGGTGGTTTCTACCTGAGCTGTCCCACTGACCTGTTTTGGAGGTAGAGCCCTGGGTCAGATCCAGCTGAGCCTATTCATGTAGCTACGGTTGTATCGTGTGCAGTTCCTCATCTTCACATTGGCTTGGCTTGTCTTCTGGGAGCTGAAGACAAAGCAGACGAGACACAAGGCGAACACCACCGCTGGCTGCATTTCCCATTCTTCGGTCTTGGTGTTCGGTTCGGGATGCCTCTTGTACAAGGGGGTGTGAGGAATCCAGTGGATGGGAGGAAATCTGGGGGATTTTCAAAATCCTTCCCCCCATGCCCGGAATTTGGTTTCTTGGCCCTGCATTGCCACTCACTCGCCATTGCACAAGATATTTTACTACCAAAGGACAAGATGGTGCCCCTCCCCAGTCCATGTAAAGAGGAGCCACCAGCAGAACCTTTCTTTGAAGCTAGCACCTGGGCAGCGTCACACCTGAAGACAGAGGGCTAGCTTGGAAGGCAGCTCCCCTCTCCATCGCCTCGGTGCCACCTCTGGGATCTGCCACCGGAGGAGGTGAATACCTCACTCTGCCTTCTGGTAGGGCCAGCCTCGGAACAGGCCAAAACCTCTGTTGGGATGGAGTTCCACAAAAACCACCATGCCAGGCGGGTCAAGATGCTGCACATGGCCCCATCGTTAGAATGGATTCGAGCCATGCTGAAGGCGGTTCCGCCCCTCCGGAGTAATTCCATGGGTTCTTCCCGCTTGGGTCCTTTTATCGACCAGATCCGCAATTCCCGTCTTGCCTGGGGCAGGGGGAAGGGTCTCCAAGAACAACAGTGATGGTTGGCAAACCCTGCTAGCAGGGTTGTGTGTGCTGGTGACCACACAGCTGCGAGCCAGCAGGTGCTTTTGCAGCCACCTCCTCCCTGGTCCAGAATGACCAGAAGAACGCAGAGCCCGCCTTTCAGGGCTTGTTTGCGGTGGGGCACCGTGGTAGAAACAAGGGGGATACATCCATAGCATCTGCACTGTTCTCACTTGCAGGGACCTGGCCTTTAGGTTTCATACCTCCAAAGATCCAAATCCTCAGTATCTGACTGAATTTTGATTCCTGCTTTGCTTTTCTTACAGAACCAGGCGCCTCCTGGCCTATACACCAAGACGAAAGATCCTGCTGCAGCACCAGACACGGCAGCCGTCCTAGAGATTGAATTCAAGAAGGGTGAGAAGAGCATCCTTGCAGTGCGTTGGTGTGGCCACGGGGGAACGCTTCACGCCATGCAGGGCTGTTGTGCAAGGGGGCAGCGCTAGGTTCTGGGGCTAATCTAGGAGTCGGGCCCAAAAGATAAAAGGAAAAGCACAGCTTTGCATATACGCGAAAGTCAGCAAAAGAGGAGAGAGACCTTAGAGCAGTGATGGTGAACCTTTTACAGGCCGAGTGCCCAAACTGCAACCCAAAACCCACTTATTTATCATGAAGTGCCAACACTGCAATAAAACCTGAAAACTGAGGTTTTACATTAGAAAAAAACATCTCACAGGCAGTCCAAGCATCTCCCTCCCTCCCTGGCAGCGCATTGACCGGCCATGCGAAAGCTCGGACGAGTCGCGGCTAATGAGTCACGGCTTGTAACGCCATCGCCTGGCACCGCTGCTCCTTTCCGAGCATGCGCATGGCCCCCGTGCGCGCCGTTATCCGATGCTCGGCTGCTGGGGCGATGCTGGGGCGACTCGGCTCACGTGCCGACAGAGAGGGCTCTGCTTGCCCGCTGCGGCACACGTGCCATGGGTTCCCCACCACTGCCTTAGCGTATGTGCAGATTTGCCTATGCAACTTTGTGCGTCGGCTTTCTCTCATGGGCCCGAGCCTGGGATTGTTCGGGCACCTCGCCCTGCGCCTGTCCAGCAGGGCTCTTCACATTGCCCCCACCTTCCTTGCGATTCTGCCCAGCTGCTGCAGGGGGTGAGGCTGCCTCTTTCAGCCGGGAGGAGGACGTGCCAAAGCTTCCACGCTCCAAACGTCTACGTTTCTTGATGCAGCTCAGTTGCGCTGGAGTTTATTCGCATGCCTTGCTGCTATTCATCAAGCAGAGCAACCCAGCAATGAGCAACCGAACTTCTGTTGGTTCATCTCATGGTTCTGATTGAATTTCCTGCCCCTTTCTTCACTTCCAGACACTAGCCATGAATGGGCTTGCTTGATCAGGACAAAGGCCCCTTAGGTCGATCAGGGCAAGATGGCAACATTTTCCCTTGTGCTATGTCCCGGGAAGTGCTACTGACAGGTAGAGTGCCCCTGCATCTGGAGCCTCCATTCCAAAGCCACAGTGAATAGCAGAGAGGCTGTGCCCCTTTGTCTCTTAACCGAACCTCCTTCAGCCTGAGGGCTGGATTCTCTTTCTGAGAAGCTCCTGAGACAAAATCCCAGGAGAGGGCAGGTGTTTGAGGCAATGCAGGTTGGGTCAAACTTTTTTTAAAAAAACCCAGCCTGTTGTATCTTACCAGACTGAGTGCAAAATTCTGAAGCTGGGGCTCATCGTCATCTGGAGCATACCCTGGGGCACCAAGGCTGTCTGTGCCCTTGTGCAAAGTCTAGCAATAGCATCCAGGGGCAAAAGGGGAGGGACACCCCGAGTCTTGTCTGCTCCAGTCTCTTTCCCTCCCCACCCCAAAAGACCCCCCCTTTACCCCCCCCCAAGTTACACTCCAGATGTCAAAGAACAGCCAGTATCGTACAACCACCCCGATAAAGTCTGGGGCCACAAAACTGCGGGAAAGCCGGTGCAAAAACTGGAGGAAGGGGTGGAACCAGGGGAAGAGGTGTGGTCCCCTGAGAAGCCCTGGAGGGCTCGTCTGGGACCCCAGGAGGGCTGGGTTTGGCAGCCAGAGCGGAGACGGCGGTGCCCCTGACGGAAGGCATCGCTGCCGCTCAGAGCAGCATCGAGCACACTTTCCTCTGGAAAAAGCGCCTCGAGTCTCTGCACATCCCAGGCCTAAAGGCGATGGATGCAGTGGGGCGTCCCTGACTCAAAGCGCTGGAAAACGGTTCACAAAACAGCTCCCTGCCTCAAAATGTTATAAACCTGCAGCATGTCCCCCCTCAGTTGCCATTTCCCCTGTAAGTTAATAAGTTTACTGCACGCCCTAAAATTCCCAACCCTTTCCTTGTGGGGAAGGAAGAGGCTGTAGCGCCACAAGCCAACTGGTTACCCGCTTTGGTGTCCATTTGGTGCCTTTATTTTCTCCAGGAGGTGAGCAGACCACCGAAATGCAAGCATTCCACGTAGGACTACTGGCTGGTCATGGAGCATCCAGAAATACTCGTCCAGCTCATTTTTGAGGGTTTTGGAAACTCTTCTTGGTCTCTTTCATGAAACCACCACAGTGCTTTTTCTCCCGAGGAGTGGACTTAGTCCCTGGCAATGGATCGCCCTTCCCAGTGCAGTTAATACTTTGATTAAAGTCTCCCATCAATTCGTTAGCAGGTCTAAACAAAGACCCACGCCGGAGTTCTCCATGCTGGCCTCCAGGTCTGTCCAACTTCCTGTAGGATAACGGACAGCTATGATGAGGCTTATTAACTCACTCCCGGTCTTTAGACGCAGCCCCTCCTCCACCCTCCACACACATCCTCATTTTATCCCCCACTTAATTTATTTGAAGTTCTAATCTAATTATTAACTATTTTAAAAGGGATAAGCCACTTTCTCAGACAATGCCCGCGCCTCGCCGAGCGAGTTCCATCTGATAGCCGAGCGAAAGGCGACAATGGCAGGGGAAGAGGGGGCGAGGACGTGGGGGGTGCCCTTCGCGTCGGCGAGAAAGATTTAGGGTTCATTATCACAGGGGGCTTACATTTAATAGCCGTTTAGAGCCTAATGCATGGGCTCCCAAGCCTGCCAGACCCCCTCTGAAAAAATAAAAATAAAATATAGAGAGGGCTTAAAATGAAGAAGCTAACCGAATCTCTCGGCTACAACAGTGGCCCTTTGTAACGGAGACTCGAAAGACGGCCATTGAGTCCTGATTAGCGACCGATAAAGCTCTATATGGTAATGAGGAGGGCAGATGGAAGAGAGATTAGCCTCGAACAGGCTTCCCCCTTTTCTTTTGTGGGTCTCTCACAGCTCCCCTCTCCTCCCTGCCCCCCATCCTCTGCGGCTGTTTCCGTCTACATTTATTGCTCATTTCACACCGCTCAAGGGGGAGCCCGAATGCGTCTTTCTCTCGCGTCGCCACCTCTGGCCCTCCCCGTCAAGATCCCTCTCTTCTTTCCTCATCACCCCCTGCCCCCTTCCCCCCCTTGAAATTTCTTGAAAAAGAGAAGAAAGAAATAGGTGTACTAATGAATTCACGCGCCACTCCCATCTTGGCGCAAAAAGGCCCAAGACGGGGCCCCATTCACTCTTGTCAGGTGGTTAACTGGGAACGTGCGTGGGGCTCGCTCTCCCACAGACATTACAGGGGCCGTGTGCTGCGGGCTGGCACCTCGGTTTCCCGCCCTTTCCCCTTTCCGCCCCTTTTCGGCTGTTGGGCTGTTTGTTTGGCCCGGCCACGGTGACGGGTGGAACAGAAGGTGCCCAGCCCAAAGACAATCGGCAAGCGTGAAATTTAATTAGTCGAGGCCTTAGCCACAATTTCAAGCTCTGCGAAAGAGAGGGGGACGGGGCGGGTGGGAAGGGGGCAGTTGTATGTAGGAGGGGGGGAACTTTTATTGCCTTTTTAAAAAAAGAAAATCTCTTTTCTCTCCAGGCTTTCCCCTCCCTGCCACCTCATATTGTGCTGGGTTTTCTCCTTCCCCCTTTCTTTTCTCTCTTAAAGCCTTCTAAGCGAAGCAGCTTAGCCATGCCTTTTTAAGAAGTTATTTAGAGTTCATATCTGTCAGATCCATTTAACGTGTTTAGAAGTGATGTTTTAAAGAGGCACCCTTGACATTAATAAGGTGATTCAAAGCCCGGTCCCCCTGTGCCCACGTCTACACGCCCTTCTGCTTCCTGCGGACCTGTTTTTACCATCTCTGTGTCACTTTTCTCTGACTCGGCAGGTGTCCCTACCAAGGTCACGAACATGGGGGACGGGACCACGCAGGCTTCGCCCCTTGCGCTCTTCGTCTACCTGAATGACATTGCGTAAGTGGCTGTTCGTCTGGGCAGACCCACGGCTGAGTTTCTGTGGTCCCCAGAAGGCTTGGGAGGAACTTCCCAGAGGATCGTTCCCCGTCACTGCAGCTGCAGTTCCCTGCAGTTCTTCTTGGGACTGTGAAGGAACCTGCTTCTCCCCAAATTAGCCCCTGCTGCAAAATTATGTGCTGCACCAGGATGTGGTGGTATCGAGGGTTGTGGCTGCAGAACCCTCCCAGCCTTGGGCAATCAGCGATTGATTTCTGGGAATGGGTGAGGATTTCATAAGGCTACACAAGCAGCGGTGCTGGATCAGTCCCCAGAAGCCTCTAGGCCAGCTTTTCAGGCCATGTATTTATTTATTATTTATTTATTTAGACAACTTATATGCCGCCCCATCGCATGAGCCTCAGGGCGGCTTACAATCATTAAAATCCCGTATAAAATGCAAAAAATTCATCAAATAAATAAAAGACATAAAATAAAATAGTGGAAACAGCCTGGTCAATTTAAAATCAACAAGGAAAACATTAACAGTTAAAATAGCATTTAAATAAAAAGGTCTTGGCCTGGCGCCGAAAAACAAATAACGACGGCACCAGGCGGACCTTTCTGGGGAGCGCATTCCATAGGTTGGGCGCCACCGCAGAGAAGGCCCTCCTCCGGGTGCTCTCCCTCCTAATATCCTTCACGGGAAGTTCGCAAGCGGGGCAAAGGGCGACAGTACCCTTCCGGCCACATTGGGACTGGGACTCAAACGATCCGGGTTCGAGTCCCCGCTCAGCCATGGAGCCAACTGGGTGACTCTGGGCCAGTCACAGACTCTCAGCCCAACCTACCTCACAGGGTTGTTGTTGTGGGGATAAGATGGAGGAGGAGAATGATGTAAGCTGCCTTGAGCCCTTTGTAGGAAAAAGGCAGGATATAAATCGAAAAAAGAAACCTCTTTAGGAAGCCCATTCCAAAGGTGTGGGAGTCACCACCGGGAAGGCCCTTCTACTTCCTCTAGGGATGACTCTTTCAGAAGGACCTCATTCCCAGTTCTCAGTGGGCCAGTAGCCATATATGGGAAGAGGCGGTCCTTCAAGCCACCAGGTCCCAAGCCACCGAGGGCTTGCATGTCAAAACAAGCGTTGCTTTGTGCCCTGGCTTAGGCAGGCAACCAGGATAATTTTTACAGAATAGGTGTGATATGGGTACACGAACCGATGCACAATAGAAAAAGTGCAGCCAGTTGAAGTCTCCAATCTTTCCTCTCTGCAGGGGCAAGCATGGGGTGGGGCGCATTGATATCGTGGAGAACCGGTTCATTGGCATGAAATCGAGAGGTAAGAGGTGTTCGGGTGGCCACCGTCTTCTGTCTGTGCCTTGAGTGGCTGGGCTGCCCTTCCCAATGGTTGGCTGGGGGAAGGCCCCAACTTGAGCCTGATGGCCATGGGGTCCCCTCCGCAGGGACCCAAAGGGTTCTGCCACAGGTCCCCAGCTGTGCTCTCTCTCTAGCCCTGTGCATGCTTCACTGACCGACCCTCCGTTTCGTGTCCCTCACCAAAGGGGCAGCTCAGCCTTGTTGCCCCCCACACCTGCAGTTGGCTTGCCCGCTAGTGGTAATGTCAGTTTCCAGTTTCGGTTTGCTGAATTTTCCTAAGTACTTTGCTGTTTTGAGAAGAGCAGAGCAGAAATACGGTAAAGACAATTCTGTTTATTCCCAATATGCCGGGAAGAGTATTTTCAGCGAGCAGAGTGCAGGGTGATGGGGACTTTGAGGCTTGTGCTACAAAACATTAGAAACGCGGTATCACATCAGGTCACAGTTCACAAGCTCTGTGACTTCACTCAGCAAAGGTCTAGGAAAGATGGAAGGCTTATATATGGACTGCTGGGTTTATTAATTTCCTGGAATTGTATTCTTGTATTAGAATAATTGGGTGTTTACTGTTTCAAATTCTATTGTTGGGTTTCATATTGTGTGTTTCAAGAATGCGTTTTTTAGCAGTGTGAGCCATCTAGGGATGTCGTAGGTGGCACAGAAATATTTGACATACATAACTAAAAGGCTGGACCTCGATCGGCCGCTTTGGGGGCTGTAGCTGGGTCTTCCTCCTTTGGAGGAACCCTTCCCCTGGGGAAAGCCTGGGTGAACGGGTGGCCACATGGGCACTCCAGCGATGTCTCTGAGCCACGAGAGGGCCGTCCAGAAATGCAGCAGGGTTGGGGTGCCATCACAGGGGCCCCAGGCAAGACACCCCTGCCATGGGACCCCTCGGGTCGCCGGAGGTCTTCCCTGGGAGTGGGGTATGTGGTGGATTTGCGAGCTCCTTCCCCCAAAGAGGTCTCCACCGGCTTTGAGAGGCTGGAGGTCTGACCCAGAGGCACATCCCCGCCGACTTTCTTTTAAGCTCTTCCAAGGCCTGCAAACCATGTTTGACCAGTGATGGGGGAGACCCGAAATGCCTTCCAGCCGTCCTGGGAAAACTCCGCTGGGGTCAGCCATGGAGGAAAACAGAATCATTGTCTCCTTTATGAGGGAGCCCCCTAGAGGGGAAAGATGGTGGAGGGGACTTTTTCCGGATGAAACAAGACTTCTCTCTAATGCTTTATCTTTCCTTCTGGAAACATTTCTTAACTGTGCATGTGACAAATACGTCCTGGGAGCCAAGCTCCATGTGAATTGAATCGCGTTGATCTGCCCATCAGTGCAGGCTTGTTTTTCATAACGTGCAAGCTGTTACGGATGTGAGGAATCTGACGCAGGGCGTGTGTGAGAGAGAAAATCGGGCCAGATGTTCACAATGCAGCCCACAGGCTTCCACTCTGGGGCCAACTCACTGTAGAGCCAAGACCTGGATTCTGGTTTGCACTTTTAACATTAAGGAGATTGTGCAAACCATGCCATCTAGATGACTGAAGCAAAGTAGAAGCTGCTGACTACGCATTTTCTAGCATGCTTTATGAAGAGTTAATCAAATGCTGTCCCTTCTTCACGGAGATGTATGTACTTTCCTGCAATGCTCAGTAACTCCCTTGCAAGGCCAGCTGTCCCAAGATGTCTTGGGCTGCAATCCCCAAATTCCCAGCCAAGTTGGGTGGACATGATGGGAGAAAACAGCCCAACACATCTGCAGGGTACCAGGTCAGGGAGGGTCCTTGGTCTGTAAGGGATTTCAATCTTCCTTGAGCTGAAAAGAAATCCAGGTGGCGTGGGATGGATGGCAGACAGAGAGAGATCAAAATGGTGGTTTCCCGGAATCAAAATATCTGTGTTCTTGTCTTGAAGAAATGGGTGGGTTTTTAATCTATGCCAGGGGCATTTCTGTGTAGTGTCTCTTCAGGCAGCAGCACAGATGTGACCTGCTGCATGTCCCGGGTTCCAGTTCTGAACAAGGGAAGCAGTTTTGCGTGCCTTTCCGGGTTGCTAGGTTTATTTGCATCCCCAGTAACTCCAGCTAGGAAAGCCGAGGTGCTGGGGGCTGGAACAAAACACACTGGCTGGATGAATCGTAGCTTCGTGATGGACCACATGCTTGTCTTCAGGAGCTTCTGGCAGTGCCCATTCCAAGCTTTGGGGGCCAGATAGCCTCGGGATGCACGTTCCCTTGGGCACCCCTTCTGCCCATTTTTCTGCCCTTTTCCTCAGCTACCACCTGCATCCCTGAAGGGCTGTAAACACGGCCTGGGGGCTGCAGGATCCCCACCTTGAATGTAGCCCCTGTACCCCATTTTCCAAGTTCAACAACTGGGACTCATGTCAAATTTCAAACATGTCAGATTTTGCTTGATCCCCACCCAGGCAGGGCTATCTGGAGTACTTCTAGTGGTTTACCACCCAAACCATTCCGCCAAATGTTGGCAGGGCATCCGCGATGTTCAGGTGGGGTCTGCGGCCTGGAAACTGGCCCCTGGACCATCTGAAGTCGCCACGCCTGGCCTCGAGGAAGAAGGCAAGCCGGGCTGGGTCTTGCGCAGCCTTTCTTGGCTGCCATCACTGCGCACGCCCTTGGAAGGGTGGCCAGGAAGGCAGGGGGCAGTGGCCCCCACTGATCTTGGCTCTGGCTCAACACCTGGTGTCCACTGCTAAAGGGGCCCTGGGTGCCGACCCAGGAAAGATTCCTGTCCGCTATTTCGGAGCAAGCTTGGCTCAAGGCATTTTTCCACATAAAGCGAAGACTGGGCCGGTTCCCTCCCCATTCTGGAAGCTTCCTCAACTGCCCACTGCCCCTTCCTCAGCACTGACACTGGGGCCATGTCCTCCTCTGCGCTTGGGGCAGCAGACTAGCTTAGGGGGCACAGGATGCCCCTGGCTCTGCCCACCAGCTTCTGGCCAGCATCCCCCATGGCCCAGCATCCGATGCACATGGCATTCTTAAAGACGCTTCTCCCAACTTGCAAAGTGTTGAAGGCTAAGAAATGAGCAGGCTGTGTCTGGGACGAGTCTCTGCTCTGGGCCCGGCTCATGCTGGGAGCGGAAGACTCATTCAGAGGCCCAACGTGGGGCTCCTCTCAGCAGGCCATGCCGAGGCAGCAGTGATTCTGTGACAGCGGCCCTCAAAGCACGGAGGTGGCCAAATGACTCACTACCTCCAGCAGAGACAAATGGAAAGGAGGGCAACGCAGAGCAGAGCTGTGAGTCTGGCAGAGGCTTGGTGCGAAGCCTCCGTCTCCTCTGAGGGTGAGTGTTTCAGACTCTCGGAGACATCCACATATTTGCCTGTAAGAGCAAAGTAGCACTGGACTTCCTGGCCTGAGCTAAATTTAAATTCGCCTGCGAATTGCAGGTGTTTGTGTTGCCTGAATCCTGTGCTTGGTTCGCTGGCTTAAAACATTTGTATACCATTTAACATTTCATTGAAATCTCAAGATGGTTTACAAAAGCAATAACCAATAAAAGAGCATTATGCAATGTATAAAATAATAAAACCATTCAGGTGTTAAAATCCTGGGAAAATAAAAAGGGCTTAATCTGGCTCGGAGAAGAATAAAGAGTTGGCACCAGGCGTGCCTCTCTGGGGAGCAGATTCCACAGGCAGGGTGCTACCCCCGAGAAGGCCCTTCCCCTGCTGGAGCCTTGCTGGCCCCCTTCAAAGAGAGCTCCCTTGGAAGGACCTCCGCGGAGCTTGAGCTTCCTCCAGTCATCGCTTGGCCCATTCACACATTACATGGCCGGGAGCCTGAGCTTGCCATCCATTCGGACAGGCACTCCAGCCAGCGGGACACAGCCCCGTAAACCTGCGTTTCCCACACGATGCTTTTCAAGGACGGCACTTTCCCTGCGCTCGCCACAAAGCACAAAAAATCGCGAAGTGAAGAGAATTCAGGGCGAGTCCAACCCGTTCGCCATCAAGCTGGTGGTGCGAGGCACGCAAGGAAGCCGGCCTCCGCTCCTCTCATTTCTCCTGGGCTTGGGTGCCCGGTGGGACTGAATGTTACCGCAGCCAGAACGGCTTGGCTGCCACCAAAGTACCCATCCCCGTCCCTGCTCAAGGTAAACAGATAGCAGAAGTTATAAATTAGACATTTTTAAGTAGCAGCAGCTGTCTCACTCCCCCCCACCTTTTTATCTCCCCCCCAGTCCACTTTTTTCACCCCCCCCCCCTTTGGCAGCAATCATGACGTGATTGAAATGCCGTGAGCCCACATCGCTGACATCCCTGTCTTTTTCCTGTAAACACGGAGAGATGAAAATAGACACTTGAAGCGGCGCTGAGTGTCACTTTGAAAGTGTCTTCTTGTCTTCTGCATGGAAACGCAGGACGAGCGCCTGTCATTTTCGACTCCCCTCGTGCCGCAGTTCGTACTTCGACTGTCAAAGGGGGGGAAAAAATCCTCTGCTTCCAGAGCTGCAGTCTTTTAGCTTCAGGTTTCTGTCACAAATCAAGCAAAAATATCAGGGAGAGTGCGAGAAACAGACGAGAGGAGAAGAATGTATTCTACACACCCCCTTTTGCTTTTCAGAGCGAAGTGCAGCATGAATATTGGAGGGGGGAGACGTCAAAGTGGAGGAAGGAGGGGATGAAAGCTTACAGACACACATTCAAAAACCAAGCTTTTTTATCAGCCCAAATTAACTTTAACACCGTCTGAGGAAAGGAGCAGATGGATTAATTGGGATGGATTAGGGCTCTTGCGCAAGGTTTCTCTCTCTCTCGTCAGCGCCGATCTTTGAGGCGCAGCGCTGTTACCCAGCCTTGGCTAAGAGTCACCATGGCAGGGTGGCTGCAGAACATCAGGTGCAAGGCATGAAGGAGCAAGGAGCCCATGTCCCCTTCCTTGCCCTCCCGGAGCGTTGCCCCAGCACTACCAGTTGCTGGTGTGGCCGCGGCAGTGGACTCTACGATGGCTAGAAGTTGCGAGACCGCCTGGAACGGCAGGTGTTCTATCATCGCCAAACTAGGCATTCAGCCACGTTCTCCATCCACTTCTGCTGCCGCCTTTATCTGTTTAAACCATTTGTATGCTGCTCAGCTGTGCCACAGCACCTCTGGGCAGCTCACAACCCAGGATAAAAACACAATAAAGCATAATATTTTATTATGTTTTATAATACACATAAAATAAACAAGGGAACCCTCCTTGAGGGAGGTTAGGAGAGTGAACACCCGGAGGAGGGCCTTCTCTGCAGTGGCGCCCAGACTCTGGCATGCGCTCCCCAGAGAGGTCCACCTGGTGCTGCCACTTTATTCTTTTTGGTGCCAGGCCAAAACCTTTTTATTTACCCAACATTTTAAAGCTTAAATTTTAATCTGGTTTTTATTAATATCAATATCCTCTATTGCATTTTATCTTATTATAGTTGTAGATTTTTTATATATTGTTTATTGATATTATATTGTGAGCCATTCTGAGACAATGGGTTTGTATAGAACGGGATTAAAATGTTCTAAATAAATAAATAAAACGCATAACATATTATACACTAACAAAAACAATGAAATAGAGTAAAACATACAAAACAAAGGTCTATGCCAAGTAATTCTTAAAATTCTTTTTAAAAAGGAAAGTCTTCGCCTGGCACTGAAAAAATAGTAAGGAAGGTGCGGGGCGAATCTCCTTGGGGCGAGCGTTCCAAATATGGGGAGCCACTGCAGCACAGGCCCTGCTCCTAGCGGCCGTCCCTCTCCCCTCCTGAAGGGACGGCTCACATAGGAGGGGCCCCTGTGTCCATCTCAAAGGCCGGGTAGGCACATATCTTCCTGCCAGGGATGCTGGCATCAGTAGTTGCTTGTCCCAAGTGGGGAATCCTTCTGCCAGCTCCCAACTGCCTGCTTTCCTAATCTTATAGCATCTGTGTGTAATGGACAAGAAAACTTCATTTCTTCCCAACCCCTTAACAAGACAAGTCTGTAAACCACCCAGAGAGCCCTCTGGGCTATTAGGGTGGCATATTAATGCAAGTAATAATAAAAAGACTGTAAGAAGAGTCCAGCGAAATCAGACTAAGGGCCCTTCTAGTCCATTATTCTGGTCACACAGTAGCTAGCCAGGTGCCCCAGAGAGAAATCCCCAGGGAGGGAGCCAGTGCAACGGCATCCTCTTGCCCATGCTCCCCAGCAACCAAGTACACAGCCTTATTGGCTCAGATACTGGCTGTAGCATAGAGTGATCAGGACTAGCAAAACACACGAACAGGATAATAGAGCCAGACAAAAACCACATGCAGTCAAATAACTGAGATAAACTGGCGAGAGGAAAACAAGCCCAAGCTCTACAGTTTTATCTATGTAATTGCAGGCTTACAAACCCAGACAATGAACAAGGAGAGATGTACGCTGGGAAATAATTCCTATGGACCGGCGGGATTCGATTGCAGATGTTCTCCAATGAAAAGCGGTCATCCACTCATTAAGGCGCTTAAGTTTATACATGTTTATGCACCTAGATAAAACAATCGGTTGTCTTATGTGCACCCATGGGCCAACTTGAGTGCTTTGGCCATTGGGTTGTACAGAAAGCAAGATAATATAAACTATGATATCCTCTCTGGATCAATCATCCAGAGGTGGACTTGGCCAAAAATGCTGTTAGGTCCCTACATAACAAGATGCACCTCAGACTTCGTAAAATCAGCTAAGCTCTTACACCCAGCTTCAAATGTGTCGCCCTGATGTAGGAAAGGGGCTTCTATTGTCTTAGGTTGGAAGAGGCCAAATGCTGCTAAAGGCATCCAAATGCTCTTTCGTGGAAGCCAGCAAAATGTTTCTGTCTACTAAACATTGGCCATCATGTTCTTCAGGAAGGGTTTCTTTGGGGTCTTTGATGTGGAAGATCTGCAGCTACCAGGACTGGGCGCATTCAGCTGGTGGCTCTCCATTGGCTACAGGAGAGCTGTGAAGGGCATTTGATCTCCACTATATGACCTGAATTTCTTTCCTCCCCTTTTCTGTCTCTTAGCTTTAAAAGTCATCATTCCCAGGTCTTATTTATTTGTGCATGGATTGCATTTCTCTGCTGCCCACAGCATGACAAAACACTGCGTTATAAAAAGCTTTTAAACCAGTTTGAAAAACAAGCTTAAAATGATTGACAATGGAGCTCTCTGGACCCATGGAGTTGGTGTCTTCAGGGTCAGCCAGGCTGTGTAGCCATTCAGGAGTCTTAGAGGACTTGTCCGTGGTGCTGAAACCCTTGTGATTCTGTTCCATCAAGTCACTTGTGACTGATGGCGATCCTGTGAATGGCACCCTCCACAACCAGCTCTCCTGAACAAGCTCACTTAACCGCTCTACATTCAGTCTAGAGATTTCCTTTGCAGCGTTAATTGATCTCTCATTTGGTCTCCCTTTCCTTTTCCTGCCTTTGACTTTCGCTAGCATAACTGTCTTCTCCAGTGAGTCCTACCGTCTCTTGATATGCCCGAAATATGACAGTTTCAGTGTTGTCATCTTTTTACTTAGCAGAATGAACTGGGTTTAATTATTTACATTGTCAAAAATCTGGCTTTAAATATTTTAGTGCAATGTTGCATTTTCATTGTTGCTTTTTTATGTTGCCCTTGTTACATCAGTCATTGTTTAGTGCCCAGAGAAATTCAGCCATTGGTCAGTTTAGATATATTGTAAGCCTCTGTCTGTGTGCATGTGTGTGTGTGAGAGAGAAGCATTTGGCTCTGTTTTAGAAACAGAGCGAGTCAGAAGGGGCCTCCTGGGCCATCCAGTCTGACTCCCAGTCCAGCCGGCTCCGCTCACGACATGCCTAGATTTTTACAGGGGACAAGAGCATCTTTTACATTAAGATCTACCCCGGAGCCCCACCTCATTTGTCATGAGTGGCTTTGAGAGACTAGGCAACAGAAATTGTCTTCCTAGGAATATTCTCTGGTTTTAGGAGCTCGAAGGAAGCAGAGCTTTCTGCAGAATCATTGAGTTGGCTGACGGCCACCTAGTCTTGTGTTAACAGACCCAGCACCACAAAATGGGCCATTCTCTGGCCCAGTCAAGGCCTCTTCAGACTCATGGAGCCGCTTTGGTTTTAACCAGAATAAACCTGGGATTACATTCCTACTCTGGGTGTTCTCTCCTGACATTTTCCTATCTGCAGTTGTGGCTGAGCTTGCCCCAGATGTGCAGAGTTGGCCAGCTGCAGAAGGAATCTAACAGCATGGTGGAACTGTTTGACCTTTTCTCAACTTCCATCCAAAGCCAACTGAATGGCGCCAAGCAGCCGCAAAACCAGCGGCATTTCTCCCGAGTGCTCCTGCTCCTGCTTAAGCCCAAAAGCTGCTCTGGTGGACAAGCTGCTACCCCAAAGGCTTAAACTTTGGTTTTGCCATCTCTTTGCTGAACTCGGTGTTCACCAGGTTGGGCTCAGCAAAGGGAAAAAAAATCGCAGTTGGGGTGAGATAATCGCCTCAAATGGGGAAGATTGGTGCTCCCCTCTCCCAGGTAACCTCCGTCCTTCCCAGCTGATGCGAGGGGCTTTCCCCCCTTCTTCTTCAGTGGGAGTGTGGGGAGGGGGTGGGAGAGGGAAGAATTTTTCCAGACCCCCATGACTTTGCCCCGCGTGGCTTGTCTAATTACAGGTTTTCAACCACAGACCAGTGGGCATGCGTTGGTGGGGGGAGCGGCTCCGAAACCCTGTCATTTAGCCTCGCTGGAGTGCCTCTTCAAAGAGGGGAATCTAGAAATTTTCTCCACAAGGTGCGGAGTGGACTGTCTCGGCCCCAGCAGGACTATAATGACAGATGCATTTTACAGCAAGCTGAGACTGAATGGAGCTGGGACGGCAGCTCCTTCTGTCAGCCAAATCATTATTTTTTGTCATTTCCTGACAGTTTGGGGCTCATTCATTCCCTTCTCCCTCCCACCCCCTCTCCTTTTTCTTTCTCCCACTGCCTGGTGAAATGGGTAGGTATCTACGAGACCCCAGCGGGAACGATCCTCTACCACGCTCATTTAGACATCGAGGCATTCACGATGGACCGGGAAGTGCGGAGAATCAAGCAAGGACTGGCCTTGAAATTTGCTGAACTGGTGTACAATGGTACGTAACCTGGAGCGAGGCCCCCTCCCCATCGCTGCAACTTCCCCACCCCATCTTAAGCTTCCGCACCAAGCCAGACATGTCTTCCACTCAGACCCAGCTGCCTTCAGTGCTCCAAAGATCGCCTTGCTCTACAGAGGCCATTATTGGTTGGAAAGTTGGAAGCCCTGGAAAAGGGGAGTTCGTGTGCATGAGCCCTCCCTACTCTAGGGTTCCAAGTGTGCATAGACTGGGCTTCCTTGTCCCTATTTAACTTCAGCTGTGTCCTCCAACCAGGCCACAAAATGCCCATGTTCAAGTTACCCTGGGGAGGCACCAGCAAAGTTGGTAGGCAGGGGTCCAAAGGCCCAGCCACACATCTCTTCCTGTTAAGGGAGATGGGACTTGTGATCCCAGTCCATGGTGCAGAAATGCAGCTGCTCATTGCAGCTCTTCCTACTGCTGCTCCCCAAGAAGCGTCCAGAGTTGCTGTCTTGACTGCACCAACCAGCAAAAGTGCTTTGCGGCTCCCTTGCCCCAGCTCCTGTGAGGTTTCTGGCAAAGCTCGGGGGGGGGGGGGAGGCTCAGAGGACTGGGGAAGGGGAAAAGCAGGTGATGTTGGCTTCCTTGCTCACCAGAAAGTACCAGTGCTCTGTCCATGGGAGCTGTGCCCCCCCCCCTTCACCTCTCGTCCTAGGCTCTATCTGTCATTTGCACAGTTTTGCCGTGTGCCAAGAAGCCACAGATTTTGTGCAAGGTCTCATTTCTGTGCTCTCTTCTCTTGCAAAAATTTGATTTCTGTGCAAGCAATGTGATAATTACTTGGCCTCACTTCTCAGTGTACCTATATATACAACCTATATATACACTGTGCACGTGTGTGTGCACGCATGCATACACACACATATTGTGAATATGTGTTCTGCAGGAACGGGGTGCTTTTCTCCTTATGAAAGTCCAAGCTTGTTTGGTCTAAAATCATAAACCTCTGCTTGGACATCTCTGGCTTCTTTAGGACAAAGGTCAGTGCACTTCCTATTTCCCAGCTCTCTCTCCAAGCATGCTCTGTGACTGATCTTAGAGCCTGAGCTGCAGTAGCAATTTGCTTTCTCTCAGTTCCTCAAGTACTCTCAGTTCATTGCTGAATCAGATCGCAGCGTTAAGCGAGCGAAAAAGTCTGCACACGAACCCGTGGCCCGTGCTTCTTCCCAATGTATGCATGTTTGAGCACAGCTTTCCATCCTGTAGCACTTGTCTGTAGATTTCCATTCACTTATACACACACGTTTGTGTGTACTTTCCCCTAACATACACAGCTTTGTACATTTCTTTATTATTGCATTGCAAAGTTCTGAGAAGCACGGATACCAATAAGGAAATGCATCCTGATTCACATCTTGATTTATGGAGAGAAGATGGGTTATGCTGACCCCATATTGGATTCCTAGCTGAGGAAAATGGCCCTTCATCCTTCGAACTGAGAATGCACTCACCCTGATTTGAGCTCCAGCTGGACATTCCCCCTCTATTGCACATGAATGGGGTTCAAGCCAAATGCCCTTCTCTTGACACTCATGTAGTGACATATCGCATTGATGTTCCCAGTGTCTGGAATGTGATGCATGGCTGCCTCTCCCCCGTCCATTTTAATTCTCTTACAGAGCTGACATACAGTTACATCATTTTGGCTACGAGGTTGTGTAAGGAATCCAGCTGGGGAGTGGGAATCCATTGGATTTCCTCTGCTTGTCGCTCTCCGGATTCTGGCTTCCACACTCTCTTCCCTAAGCCTGCACAGAGCATTTGTGTGGGTTTCCAGTAAGAGGAGGAGTCTTGCATCCAGGCACATGACTTGTGGATTCTATGCCCTTGGAGCAAAGTGTGTTTTCAAATATGCTGATGCATGTTCAGCTGCAGGAAGAGAAGGCTGGGGAAAGATATGATAGCGCAATACAAGTACTTCAAAGGTTGTCATGGAGAGGAAGGACAAGATCTCTTCTCCTTCATTCCAGAGTGCAGGACACAGAATATTGGGCTTAAGTTAAAAGAAACCAAATACAGATACTGGGAAGCATTTCCTCACCGTCAGAGCAGTACGGCAACGGAACCTATCACCTAGGGATGTTGCAGGTTTCCCCTTGCTGGAGACATTCAAGAGCAGCTGGACAGCCGTCTGAGTGGGATGGTGTAAATTGGTGTCCTGCAACAGCAGAGGGTTGGACCCGATGGCCCTCTGGCCCCTACAACTCTTCTGTGATTTTATGTATTGGAGTACTTCACATGGAGAAATTGCTATCATCCCTGTCCAGGCCAAGCATGGGAAAGAGGCCCAGCAGGCTCAAGGTTCTAGCCTGAACTTCTTGTCCCTGTTACATACTTTCCGGCCTGTGCAGCCTGGTGGTTTTAATTTCAGTAAAGCTGGATGTCCAGCTTGGATTACAGGAGCTATCCATGGTGCTGAACCTATTTGAGGGCTGCAGTTCTTCAGCGAATGTGACCTGTTACTGTTGTCACCACTGTGACAGCAAACAGTCTGATAACAACCTCAGGCCTGCATAATCTGCCTGCTAATTATGGATGGGAATGAGGTGAATGTTTCAGTTTGTTTTTGAACCTTTTACCCAGTTTGGGCTTTCTAGGTGGAACGTGGAATCAGGCAAAATCTGGGATTGAAGTCTATGTATTTCTGAGCTTGCAGTGTGATCTGTAGAGCCAAAAAAAAAAGCATGCACGGACTTGAAAACTGCATGTAAAATGCATACTTCTGAAAAATACCTATCAATGCACCTTAATATGAAAAGAAACTATGCCATTCGAAGGTGCATATAATTGATGGGTATGCCTAGAAAAGTGCATGGAAACACACATGGATTTTCATCTGGAATGAAAAAAGTGCCAGGATTGCAATCAAGTATGGACTGAAGTTGGAATCAGTTTTGAGATGGAACCTGGAGAACTCTGGCAAGCTCAGTTTTTTCTGATTTGCACAGCCCTTGCGCAGCCCAAGAATTTCTAGAGTCCGATGTCTTAACCCAGCTGCAATGAAGGTCTTCTGAAAGACTTCTCTGTGCTCTGTACCCAGCCCTCAGACCTGGGCACAGGAAATCAGGAAGTGCCTGACCCGTTTCTGAGTGTGCTCGTGGGTCCCCTCGGTCAGTGAGTCTGTCGCCACTGCCTGCTGTCATGTCTTCCCCGATCAGCAGCCAGAGAGCCCGGGAGCAAGGAAAACATCAATTGCTCCTCTGCTGGTACCTCTATATTAAGGTGTCCTCTGAAGATACAGTAGATGGAAAATCTGAGGCCACTGAAGCAGTGCTTGCCGTGTCAAAAGAGTGGAGTGGCATAGGAGCTCTCCATGGTGCTGAACATATCCGTTCAGCACAGCTGTTGGAGTCACTGGTGTCCACTGGCTATGGGCCTTGTTGGGTTATCTTCAAGGGCTTTTGAAGTGCACTAGACTATGCAATCGAGCTTCCCCAGACAGAATGGCCAACGGAGGCACCCATTTGTGGATGTTAGGAAGCTTGGGAGTTCTCCAAGGTCCTGAAAGACCTGTTCCTTACCCTGAATTTTGCTTCTGGGACTAGTACCCTGATCTGAGAAGATTCACGAGCACCTCTCTGCAGGGGCCAAACACCTGCATGTGAGCAGAATATCTAAAACAGGATTCGCCCTATCACCTCACCTGTATTTCCCCCCTGGAGGAGGCCTGTAATGTGGTACTGAGCCCACACTGGGGCACTGTGCTTTTCCCCCTGATCTGAGGCCTTTGCTAGGGAGATGCGCAGAAATGGCCTATGATATTCTGCTTTGGGAGGCTGGCTGGCTCCAAAGAGGCTTTTATCGGGGGTGTGGGTGGGGGGAGGTTGTTACCTCTGACATTTCAGTGGGTACACATGGCCAGCAGGGCAGGCCATTACTGAATTGCTGCAATTTGGGGAGTGAAAAGAAAGGAGCGGCAGAAAGAGTGGCTGTGCTGGAGGCCAAAGGCTGTGGCCCGCCATGCAGCAGTTAACACGGGACTCCCGGAGGCCGGGCAGTGCAATCAATGGCTGCAAACTTCTTTGGGTTCTTTTCCAAGCGGCTCCCACAGAGAACCAGCAATTTCCCGTCAGCACTAAATTTATCCTAACTCGGCTTCAGAGCCAGTAATCCTGCCCAGCAGTGATTTTCAAAGGTTATTCCATCAGGGAACCCTTTCCATCTTTTTAATGGTTTGGAGAAGTCCTTGGGACCAAGGGCAAACCAGTTCAGGTAGAGACGAGCCAGCTAAGACCGGGTGGGAGCCTGACAATCAAGCCAAGACTAGCCTAGCAAGTGAGGGTGACCAAGCCAGGGTCATGAACTGGCACCCCCGTAACTGCAGCTTCCAAGAGGAACCCAACCAAAGGGCTAGAACTCCCACCTCCCAAGGGCCTTCAGAGATCGCATGCCCCACGGGAAGTAGCCAAAATGTGGGAGTGCTGGGCACTTCCTTTAAGGATCTCTAGGAAGAGTGCGGAACACTGGGAGGCTGTAGCCCTGGCGGAAGAACTGTGCACACCCCACATACTGGAGCACCTCCTCAATTCCCTGGGAGCTGTCCAGGGTCCTGAAGAAATTGCCTCGCTACCTGTTGCTTTCTGATGCCGCCCCATGACAGCCGAGAAGAAGCTGGTTCTGCCTGGGGGTCCCCTGCTCTGGCTGTGTGCTCCAGACCACCAACTGACCTGCCTCCTCCAGACCCCAGTACAATGGGAAATATAAAGCAGTGGCTTGTAGGTGTCATTGCCTAGTGTGTGATTCGGTATCACTGCTGGTGGGATCTCCCAGGGGATGGCCCCTGAAAACTGCCTGATGGTCCCAATTTCTGCCACCAGCTCCATATTTATGAAGGGCAGTCTCAGGCAGGAGGAGGAGGAGAGGAACTGGATTCACGCTCACCCTGGATCATCAGTGCTGGCAGAAGTTGCCTTCTCTGCTGCATCGTTCCCATGGCAGCTGTTGGAAGGAAGAAAGGTGGCTGCTTTGGGCACACATTC